CTCTCTTTGGACACAATATCTGTATTACAGTGAGGTCTTAATTGGAGACATTTAAAGAAGTAACCCCTCTCCAGGTTTTAACTGTCTGACATTTGTTGAAAGGTAACCAGGCCTTTTTCAGATGATGCTTTCCAATATGCGGAAATGCCAAAGTTGCACCAATATTTAAACCTACTATCAGTTTTAACAGGGCTGATTTCTGTGTCATATGCTCGCAAGCGTAGTATTCTTGCATCACTTTCAAACATTTTCTTTCTAAGTTCCTGGAACCAGATGTTCAGTGGTACTTTTATGCAGTTGGATACTTTGTTTTAAAAGTGACTGCAATAATGGTTTATCCCCGCGAATAGCCGGGAGCGGGACATGAACTTCAGCCTGATCTATTTCTCTGAACTGTTTCAGGAACATTCTTCAGAAAGGCGGCTCTGCAGTAGATGCTGCCATTGCTGCGCTGTTGTGCACCTCCATCATCAACCCACAGTGCGCGGGCATCGGAGGCGGGGTCATATTCACTGTGATGGACAGCTCCGGTAACAAGACACCCTCCCTCCTCTTAGCTCAACCCCGCTGGGGTTTAACATAATAATATGTCATCTTTTCAAAGGTAAAGTGAAAATCATCAACTCCAGAGAGACTGTCCCCAGAAATGTGAACTCTGACCTGCTTAAGTTGTGTCGTAAAACCACAGAGTGGACCATGGAGTGGCTGGAAGGTGGGTTGTTTTTCTGCCATAATGCTAATATTTATAATGGTTTAGTCTAATCTGCTCTTGGACTCACCTTTATGACACAGCCTCATTCCTCATTCCTCAAGAAAGAGAAACTGGGATAATAAAAAAGAAAAGAAAAAAGAGATAAAGCAAACCACTACAGAGGGTTTGGCTGTCGGCAGTTATTCAAGACAATGAGTCGGTGTCATATATGACACTATCAGAATAATCTAGCATAAATTAAAACCATGAAACACATGCTCCTTAGTTTCAGAAGCAACCAGAGAGATTGAAGTAGTTTCTTTCTCCAAACAGGTCTTAACAAGTCTTTCTCCAAATTATGCACAAGATGTAACACAAAAGTTCTAAAGGTGTAGCCAGTTATTTGCAGAGGTATCTTTTACATTCTGCACCTTAGTCTGTAAGACAAACTCAAGATGTGAAGGATCATACCTACTTTTTATCATCTGGGATAGGGCTCTTGTCACCAAAGAAGCGAAGGAAAGAGACAGCATGACAGGTATCCTCCTCCTCACCTCTAACCTCATCTCCTGAAATAAACCCTCAGATGAGACAGAGACGGACTGGACACAAAGAAAGTCCTGGGTC